TATTCATGTTCTGTGAGGCGTGGCTGTTGTTTCAGCACTGCCTGCCTTTAGATCCCTTCCCAGATCTGACACAATTTGGTACACACAGGAGGCTCAGCCAACACTGCCCAGCTGGGTGATGGTTGGCAGATGGTGTTTGTTGCCCAATCTGCCAGGCTGGTATGGCAAGTCCAATAAACATCTCCATGGAACCAGCAGGGATAGCAACTGAGCAGCAATCTGTAGGCTTCTTTGCTGAGGCTTGCCGCCTCCACTTTCCCCCAGGAGGATCAGAAGGACCCTTGTAAGGTGGGAATGCACAAGGAACGTGGGCCCTTCATCCCCAGACTGAAAGGAGGTGTTCATGCTTTCACGCAGGTCAGCACTGTGATGGGCAGAGAGCGGCACATGGCTGAACAGATTGCCAAAGTTTCAAAACTATGTCAATGGAATCACTGTCATAATTTCATGAGAGAAACTTTAAAGAGAAAATATTGTTTCTATGCATCGTAATTCTCCTCCAAGGGAAAATAAGCAAAAACAGTTTACATTTTGTAGGAAGAAAACAAGAAAACTCTCAAAATAAAACACTAACTCTTAGTCACATCAGTTGGTTGCAATTTTTAGACATGGATTTCTTAGGAAATCTATGACACTATCTAATATTGCTTGACTAATGTCTCGAGTTTTCTGTGGTTTTAAATTTCCATTTTCCACATAGCCTCATTCACTCCTTCCCATGTCCATCCAAAGAGCTCCCCTCGCTTACTCACATCACCTCCATCCACATGTTAGGACATGTGGCTTCTTCCATGTATTTCCTGAAATGTGTGTTTCTTCTACCACTAATCTTCCAGTAGGAACTGGTTTCCAAAGTTTTGATCAGGAATTGTCTAGGGTTTCTACCATAGAGTTGCTTGAGTCCTTGCATCACCAGGAGGCCACAAATGCAGATAGCTTGGGTGAGGAATTGAGATTTTCTTCTCACATCCTTACTTGATGCATTTGCTCAGGAGACAGGTGAACATGTTGGGGTGAACAAAGGTGGGACTCTCAGTCTCTGGCTGACACATCTAGAAGCCCAGGTGAGATTCTGAGAATGGCAGCAATCTGCATCTGCAGAATTGTCCTTCAAATTCTCTAAAGAATTCCTAGGAATTTTCTGGCACATCTACACACATCTTTGTCAAAAATGTAGTACAAGGTCAGGTTTTGCTGATTTATTTTTTCATTTTGATGAAGATGTGAAAGAGGGGAAACAAATACATCTAGGGTTTAAAATAGACACTGATGATGATGTTTCCAATTGCAGATTTTTTTCTTGAGAAACAGACCCCTCCATAGCCCGGCTGTGCACTCCCTCTAGGGCTGAAGTATGAAGGAGAGTATCCATTCTATCCATCACTGGTGGACAGCTGATTAGGACCACCTGGCGAGAGTTTAGAGAAGACTAACTTAAGTCTTAACCATTTTCCTTTCCAGCTACGTGAAAATTGGATGGAAGACATTCTTGATATCTTTAAGTCCTGCCATGTCACATTTCCCTTGTAAAAACATTTCTGTAATTAAACACCAAGGGAGCTTGACTATAGACGACCCTGACATGTGACTGGGACAGAAGCCCCTCATGTGGGTAGACATGTTGGCAGTCAGTCACCTTTGCCCCTGCCCCAGACCATGTATTCTCTGAGGATGTCCTAGGAATGTCATCCTTAGCACTTGGTGTGTGGACCTGTAAAACATTCAGGCCATTTCCTCAGAGAGAAAACAATTTCTGGGGCTCCCTAAAATCCATACCAGAAAAATTTGACATGCCAGCTCTCTAGAGCCACATCGCTAAGACTTACTAGCAACAATGCAGTTGTACATCATCAGGCATTTAGTAGAGCTAAATAAGTACTCAGAAATAATCAGAATGAACATAGTCCTGAATAAGCCACTTGGACACAACCTAAGACTTTGAAAAATTGATGACTCTGGTGGAATTATGAAATCTAAAGATGGGCCAGGCGTGGTGGCTCACGCCTGTAATCCCAATACTTTGGGCGGCCGAGGCCAGCGGATGACTTGGTGTCAGGAATTCAAGACCCGCCTGACTGACATGGTGAAATCACATCTCTATGAAAAGTACAAAAAAATTCCCCGGACGTGGTGGCGCATGCCTATAGTCCCAGCTACTCAGGAGGCTGAGGCAGGAGAATTGCTTGAACCCAGGGGGTGGAGGTTGCAGTGAGCCAAGATCGCACCACTGCACTCCAGCCTGGGCAACAAAGTGAGACTCCATCTCAAAAAAAAAAAAAGAAAGAAAGAAATCTATAGACGATAATGAAGTCCAAAGGCAATAAAACTGACCATATTCTCTCATTTTTCCATTACAGTCAAGAAGTGTGAAAAATAATGAATCAAAACTTTATGGTTTTAAGGATTTAAAAAAATCTCCCTCAAGTGATCTTTTAAGAAAAATAAGCAAGGGACTTTTTCAGAAGAAATCCCCATAAGCTAAAAAGGCCTTAAGTTTCTGGCATTTCATAACTTTAACAATAGTAATGAAATGCTTGCCTTGCTTGTAGATGAGGAGGTGATCCGTTTTATCTTTACGGTCCTTCCAGTTCTAATACTCTACAGTTTTTCCTTTAACTATTTAAAATATTTGTTGTTTGTCATTTGATGTATTTTTGCTGAATTATGTTGGCTAGCTGATTATGTTGTTCAAAATAGGTAGCTTACTAAAGCAGTAAACACCCCTCCCTTCCTTCCTTCCTTCACCAATATCAATTAATAAGCTACGGTTGAAACAACATGATCCAGCCTTCAGACTGGTTTCAAATCCCTGTTCGGATACTATAAGTCTTGGTCTTTGACTTTGGACAAATTGTTTAATAAGGGAATGGTTAGCATTTAGGTGGGTCTTAATCCATGCTGGTGCCATCCTAATAAGCACGTTGCATTTGTTAACAGATTTTATCCTCACAGCAATCTGTAAAGTAGTGCTCTCATTTTTAAAAGTGTGTGTGTGTGTGTGTGTGTGTGTGTGTGATTTAAAAAATTTTTTTCCTAGAGCAGTTTCAGGTTCACAGCAAAAGTGAGAGGAAGGTAGAGATTTCCTATACACCCTTGTCCCTACATGCATAGTCTTCATTATCAACATTCCCCACCACAGTGGTACATTTGTTTCAATCAACGAACCTACAACTAAACATCATAATCACCCAAGTACAAAGTTTACATGAGGGTTCACCCGTGGAGTTGGACATTCTATGGGTTTAGAAAAACATACAATGACATGTATTCACTATTATAGTACCACACAGAGTATTTTCACTGCCCTAAAATCCTCTGCGCTCTACTCAGTGATCCTTTACTTAATCCCAAGCCCTGGCAAACACTTATCTTTCTCATTGTTTCCATAGTTTTGACTTCCAGAATTCATATAGTTGGAATCATACAGTATGTAGCCTTTTAAGATTGGCTTCTTTCATTTAGTAATATGCATTTAAAGTTCCTCCATGTCTTTCTATAGCTTAATATCTCATTTCTTTTTGTTGCTGAATGATATTCCATCATATGAATATTTTTATGTTCATAATTTATATTTTTAAATATTCGTTATATAGTCATTATATAAATTATATGCTTATATTCATAGTTTATTTACCCATTCACCAACCAAAGGACATCTTGGCTGCTTCCAAGTTTTAACAATAATGAATAAAGCTGGTATAAACGCCCATGTGCAGGTTTTTGTGTGGATGTATTTCTTCAGCTCCTTTGGGCAAATACCAAGGAGCATGATTGCTAGATTTTAGGGCAATAGAATGGCTAGTTTTATAAGAAACTGCCAAACTGTTTTCCAAAGTGGCTGTCTTGTGTTGCATTCCCACCAGCAGCAAATGACAGTTCCTATCACTCTGCCTCCTTGCCAACATTTGCTGTTGGCAGTGTTCTGGATTTTGGCTGCTCTAATAAGTATGTAATGATATCTCATTGTTATTTTAGTTTGCATTTTCCCAATGACGTGATGTGGAGCACCTCTTCATATGCTTATTTGCCATCTGTATGTCTTCTTTAGTGAAATGACCCACTTTAAACGGTTGTTTGTTTTCTTACTGATGAGCTTTAAGAATTCTTTGTATGTTTTGGAAAACAATCCTTTTTCAGCTGTGTTCTTTTGCAAATATTTCCTCCCCGTCTGTGCCTTGTCTTCTAATTCTCTTGATGTTCTTTTGCAGAGCAGGAGTTTTCAATTTTAATGAAATCCAGCTTGTCAATTCTTTTGTTAATCATGCCTTTAGTGTTGCATCTAAAAGGTCATTGCCTTACCTAGGGTCATCTAGGTTTCTCCTATGTTATGTCCTAGAAATTTCATAGTTTTGCATTTCACATTTAGGTCTGTGATCCATTTTAAGTTGATTTTTCTAAAGAATGTGTGTCTAGACTTATTTTTATGGTGGTAGTTGTTGTTGTTTTGTATGTGGATGTCTAGCTGTTCAGCACCATTTGTTGACAAGATGATTTTTGCTCCTTTGTCAAAGATCAGTTGACTGTATTTATGTGAATCTATTTCTGGGCTCTATATTCTGTTCCACTGACCTATCTGTCTATTCTTTTGCCAATATCACACTGTCTTAATTATTTTAGCTTTATAGTAAGTCTTGAAGTTAGGTAGTGTCAGTCTTCCAACTTTGTTCTTCTCCTTCAATATTGCGTTGGCTACTCGAAGTCTTTTGCTCTCCATATAAACTTCAGGATCAGTTTGTCAATATCCACAAAATAACTTCTGGGATTTTGATTGGGATTGCATTGGATCTGCAGATCAAGTTGGGAAGAACTGACATTTTAACAATATTGAACTTTTTTTACCAAGATGAAATATCTCTTCATTTATTTAGTTCTTCAGTTTTGTTCATCATAGTTTTATAGTTTTCCTCATATGTATAGATTCTTATACATATTTTGATAGATGTCTAGGTATTTCATTTTTGGGGATGCTAATGCAAATGGTATTGTGTTTTTCTTTCTTCTCATTTTGTTTTGATTAAGCACTACATAACGCACTGCATGCTACATAATATACTGAATAACCTTCTAGTAGGGGTAGATGACCATAACTGAGTTATTTTTTCCTCAATCAGGAAAATGCTTCTTTAATCAATGTTCTCCAAACCCTTTGACATACAGTAAAGATGAACTCCAGAGATGCACCTATCTCTTTCCATCAAATTCCATGGATACAAAACATGAGCAACCCTTTTTTCCTTGCCGCCGACAGACAACCTGTGGATGTACGAAGTAGCCAGTCCTGGAATAAGCAAGCACATGCTCATGGCAGCAAGTCCGGGGAGAATCTTGAACCACATCTCTGCCCGGTTACGTAGGCCAAAACCCTACATCTGGGTCCTTGAAAGGTGACTGAGCTTCGGCTCTCTTCCCAGTTGGTATTGTGTTTTTCATTTCAATTCTACTTGTTTTCATTGTTGATATATAGGAAAGCAACTAACTTTTGAATTTAACTTTGTGTCCTGCAAGCTTGCTATAACCTCTTACTAGTTACAGGGGTATTTTTGTTCATTCTTTTTGATTTTCTATACAGATGATCACATCATCTGTGAACAAAGACCATTTTATTTTTTCTTTTCCAATCTGTATACCTTTTATTTCCCTTTCTTGTCTTATTGCATTAGCTAAGACTTCCAGCGTGATGCTTAAAAGTAGTTGTAGCCGGGCGCGGTGGCTCAAGCCTGTAATCCCAGCACTTTGGGAGGCCGAGGTGGGTGGATCATGAGGTCAAGAGATCGAGACCATCCTGGTCAACATGGTGAAACCCCCGTCTCTATTAAAAATACAAAAAAATTAGCTGGGCATGGTGGCGTGTGCCTGTAATCCCAGCTACTCAGGAGGCTGAGGCAGGAGAATTGCCTGAACCCAGGACGTGGAGGTTGTGGTGAGCCTAGATCACGCCATTGCACTCCAGCCTGGGTAACAAGAGCAAAACTCCGTCTCAAAAAAAAAGAAAAGTAGTTGTGAGAGGGAACATCTTTGCCTTGATCCTGATCTTAGTGGGAAAGTATTATCATAGTCATCTCCATTTATTTCTCAGAGAGGTTAAGTAACTTTTTCAAGGTTATATAACTAGCGCAGGGAAGAGATGGAAACAAAGCTCTTGCCTGTAACCACCTCCCATAGTCAAGAGTGCATATAATGCAAAACAGGACAGTATTTGGTGTGTAGTATGCACTATGTAAGTGTTAATTATTCTTAATACTACTATTCATTCATTATTACCATTTTTTGAGCTTGATTTTCTCAACTGTAAAGTGAGAAGAGTATTACTTCCTGGGACTATCAGGAGACTAAATGAGATAATATAGACTGCCTAATACTTAGGAGGCAGCAGTGATCAGTAATAATCCCTATGTGTGAAAAACACTGTGCCGGACAGAGTAGGAAGTACAAAGATGATACCCACAACTTTTAAGGGGCCTGCAGGTTGATAGGTCAAAGAAAATGGGTTTCAATTAACCATAATGCAGAGCAGGATGGGAAAAGAGCAGTAAGAGGGTTATAGACTGAGGATGCTCTGCCGGGACATTCTACACTTCCCCATTCCCCCCACCCAGCTCTGTGTAACAGCGCACTCTTCCTCATCTTTCAGGTCTCAAGTTAAATATCACCCCTCTGGGAAGCACCCTGGGCCCCCCCAAACTCGGGATGGTGCTCCTACTGACCTTTCATACAGGACTCACTTCTCACAAGCTCTAGACAGGACTGAGTCCATCCTGCTTATCATAATAACCCCAGGACCAGCACAGGGTCTAGTACACAGAAGGTGCTCAGTAAATCTTTGATAAATGAAAGAAACATGGATTTTAAGTATATTAGTCTTATCTGACTCCCTTGACTTTAAAAAGGAAATTGAGGGCACACTGAGAAAATGAGATAAATCTGGGGACTAAAATCACAAGTCTTGTGACTAAATCATGATCCCCAAATTTTCTGACACAGTAGAGCAGTGAACAGGGATTAGCACAATGAGATTTAGTAGGAATACATATAAAGGCCTGTATTTGGCTTGCAAAACCCACTAACTACCCTAGTACTGGATTGGGGAAGCCATGGCTGAGACAGCATACATGCAAAAGACTTCAGACTTTTAGCTGACTTCATATTTACCAAAAGAATGTATCCAATCTTGGGATATATTAAGAAATATGTAGCACCTAGCCAGGTGCAGTGGCTCACGCCTATAATCCCAACACTTTGGGAGGCCAAGACAGTTGATCACTTGACATCAGGAGTTTGAGACCAGCCTGACCAACCTAGTGAAACCCCATCTCTACTAAATACACAATTAACTGGGTGTGGTGGCACATGCCTATAATCCTAACTACTTGGGAGGCTGAGGCAGGAGAATCACTTGAACCCAGAAGGCGGAGGTTGCAGTAAGCTGAGATGGCACCATTGCACTCGAGCCTTGACAACAAGAGTGAAACTCCTCCTCAAAAAAAAAAAAGAAAGAAAATTATTGCACCCAGAATAAACGTGGTGCCAGACTTACTGTTTAGTTTACACCTCAAGAGGGACATTAAAAACAGGAATTTCAAGCAAATTATTAATCCCTCTACCCTTTATTGTCACCATCTTTAAAATGGATGCCTCCTCATAGGGTTGTGAGCATTAAGTAATTTGATGATTTTGTTATTTTCATTGACAAGGAACCATTGGAAGTACTGAAATACTTATTTTAAAAATGTAAAGAACTGGGTGGAAAAATAGGAAACATGAGGGTGACAGTCTCCTTCAATGTTCTCTTATGTGAAAGAGATTAAGCTTCACTTTTATAATCCTAGATGGCAGAAAACTAAGAATTTCAGCTTCACTTAAGGAAACACTTTCTGACATGCAAAGCTATCGCAAACTAGAAGAAATCGTCCTGGGAGTGGTGAGTCCCCATGCATCTAGAAGGCAGGCACTCACTTGGTGAGACCAGATCAGATGAGGCCTCAGGACCTTTCCACTGCTGGGATTCATTAAGCACCTGGTGTAGGTCACTAACATTCATTGATGTCCAGCTCAGGCTTGTTATTAATACATACATCATCTCATTTCATCATTGCAACAGCCTCATGAGAGCAATTCCATTATCAGTCTCCTTTACAGAAAAGTTGAAGAAATTCAATACCATGTTTAAGGTTGCATACTTTATAAATTATCCAGTCAAAGCTTTGGGCTCAAGTCTGGTCGACTCCAAAGCCCCTGGTCTTTCTAACGTGTCCTTGCCTGGGTTGCCACCCCAACTCCCCTGGGTCTTTGTGTGCCTTATAAAATGGGAGAGAAGGGACAGGAGTGCATGCAGGGTTGTAAACTGGAAGTATGCAGGCTGGATTCAGCTGGCACACATGTGTTGATTGGCAGACACAGCACTTTTGGCTGCCAATGCTTAATAGCTAGAAGAGTTCACGTAAAAATTTCATTTCCTACTTATCTTTAAAACCTGGAAACACTAGCCACACTGGCCCATATTACTTGGCAACAATGGACTACAGCAAGCAGTGACTGCCTGCTTCAGACATGGGCTCACGTTCCCAGCCGCCACCACGCCTCCTGTCCCACCTCCACTCGTGTGCCTGGACCCCGGGGGGATATCAGTGTGCTACACCCAGTGTGAACATTTCAAGTGAACGCATAACTAATCATGAGTTTAGGAACAGGAAAGTGCCTGTCCCACATTCCAGATGAGGAAGCTGAGCCCTAGAAAGTTGCGTGGTGGCACAGGTCATCATGCTGCACTTCAACAGAGCCTGCCTTCTGCCTCCCCTCACTGACCACCCCTCCCCCTTTCCCCCCACCTCCTGCGCGCCGCCACTCGCGCGCACACACAGCTATGCTGGTGGAACGCATCGGGGCTGCACTCTAGGAAAAGCCAGTGTCCCTACTGCAGAGGAGTCTGACCAGGCATCCTCTGCACCTGAGAGGGAATTTCCTCCCCAGTCTCCAGAAAACATAACTGTTGGTTTTTTTGTTTTTTTTGTTTTTGAGACGGAGTCTCTCTGTCACCCACACTGGAGTGCAGTGGTACAATCTCGACTCACTGCAACCTCCGCCTCCTAGGTTCAAACGATTCTCCCACCTCAGCCTCCTGAGTAGCTGGGACTACAGGCACCTCCCGCCACGCCTGGCTAATTTTTTAAATTTTAGTAGAGACAGGGTTTCACCATGTTGCCCAGGCTGGTCTTGAACTGCTGGGCTCAGGCAATCCGCCCACCTCAGCTTCTCAAAGTGCTAGCCACCATGTGAGCCACCGAGCCCGGCTGACTGTTGGTTCTGAGGAGGTTCTCGCCATCTCCCAAAAAGTCCCCAGCACCTTACCACAGAGAGAGCTAAGCAGAGAGTCTGATGACTTAAGCTTGATTCACATGGTGAGATCAGTCCCTTGCTTCCCGTTTCTAGTCCCGTCAGAAGACTCCATGTTATCCGTCTCTGGGCCCTCGTTTCTCCCACTACGAGTGTGGATATTTGAAGCTGTAATTGTCCCGCTTGAGTCATTCAGGAGTGTCAGGGCCAGATAGGATCTGGAAGCCTGAATTCAGTTTTGGCTCAGCCACTAATCGTATTCCTGTGCTTGTGGCAAGGTCTCTCCTCTCTGGGCATCAGTTTCCTCATCTGTAACATGATCGGCTTTATTAGGGTATCTGAAAAATCCTTTTTAAAGTTTTATAATGTTATGATTCAGAGGCAGAGCTGGGAATAAATAATAGAACTTGGGACATGGCCAAAAATCTTAGAGGAGTAGAAAAAAGATTAATAGTAATCCATTAGAGTTCTTTGCTTTTGCTTTTTCTTTCTTTTTCATTTCCCTCCCTCCCTCCCTCTCTCCTTCCTTCTTTTTACCCTATCTCCCTCCTTTCTTCCCTCCTTCCCTTCTCCCTTTCTCTTTTCTTTTTTGCTTTTCTTCTGAGATGCCTCAACTGATCAAGATGAGAATCTCTGACTGAGGTCAGTCGTCTGGTGAATAGAACCTAGAAACTGCCAGCCAGCTTCGTGTCAATACCCAGAGAGCACAGAAAGCTGAGACCGTCTTGGTCTTATGGTCCATCAAGCTTAGATCTAGCCAGCATTCCATTCTCACTGAGATCTTCAACTCACTTATCTAGATCTTAGCTATAATTTTTAAAATGATCTCCCTACTTCCCTTCAAGGCAGGTATTAGTACTTTTGCCTCTAATCAACATGAGCACTCTTGTGTGTGAGATGTGTGTGCTGTCTGCTCAGCTAGACCCTGAGAACTTGAGTCCAGGGACTGTCCGTGTGCACAGTGCTGGATATTTGATACATCCTGATTTCGCCTTTCTTGCTTGCTTCATCTTATATCTTCTCATAAACATCTGTTGACAGTGTGCCGGGTGTCCGCCTCTGCTGGACATTGGATCGAGGGGATCATTTATCCTGATCCCCTGCTGCTAGACACCCACATTCCAAAGAGCATTCTAGGGGCCTTAGATGAAGCCAGAGGAAGAGAAAGGGAGCCGCATCCCTTTTCTCTCCTTTCTAGCTCTTCTCTTTTTCTCTGCTCTTGGTAGTCAATCTACTGTTTTAAGTGGGGCAACGCAAAAAAACAACAACAAAAAACAATGTCTTTCTACTGAGGAAAGGCGGGTAGTAGGCAAAGGGCTCTTTTTTAGAAAAAGGCATTTCTTTTTACCACACAAAATAATACATTTTTCAATGTTTCATTTTAGAATGGCATCCTGAGTCTGAAACACAATGACTTAGAAAAGTTTACCCTGCTCAAATAGAAATATTTGTGTAACATGTAAGTATCTGTCTAGATGGCAGAAACGAGCAACTGATTTCCTGATATTCCTAGGCAAGTCTTGGTGAGATCTTTTCATCACTTTTGAATTTGTATATAAATCCACCAACAGTGGTGACAGTTGCTATATTTTTAGCTAATAAATTATAGTTGAGGTTTTTATGATGCTCATTTGGATAATGAGGATAGCTTACTAGGAGATATTAAATTGCACATTCCATGTGGACTATAATACTCACACCAGGCAAGTATTCCCATCCACGTGAAGGCAGAGATGTTTCATTATGCTACCTGCTGAACTGAGGCTGCCAAGAAAGAAGTGAAGGGCATTTTTTCTTTTCTTAGATACAAAGTCTTGCTCTGTTGCCCAGGTTGGAGTGCAGTAACACTGCAACCTTGAACTCCTGGGCTTCAGTTGATCCTCCCATCTTAGCCTCCCGAGTAGCTGGTACTATAGGTACGAACCACCATGCCCAGCTAATTTTTAAAATTTTTTGTAGAGATGGGGTTTCACTCACTGTGTTGCCCAGGCTGGTCTCAAACTTTTAGCCTCAGGCAATCCTTCTGCCTTGGCCTCCCAAAGTGCTGGGATTGCAAGTGTGAGCCACCACGCCCAACCTTGAAAGACATATTTAAAAATCATCATGATTCTATCACAGGGGAAAATTTTGTTTTTTGTGAATGGCCCAAACTGGATGCGGGAGGGGAGTGGGAGAGAAATGCTGCAAAGACTCTTAAGGTGAGGAGTTTACCCTGGGTGATCTGGAGGAAGCATTGCAACTCAGCCAGCTCGGGAAACAGTGGATCATCACTTCTAAGGAAGAGACTAAACGTCTCTTTTCATTCAGTCTAAGTTTTATTGAGATGTAATTTACATATCACACCCATTTATAGTTTCAGCATACTGACAGATATATGCAACCATCATCATCACAGTCAATTTTAGAACACTTCATTGCCTCAAAATAAACTCCATAGGCTTTAGCTATCACTCCTTATCCCCCACATCTCCCCAGCCCTAAGCAACCACTAACCTACTTTCTGTAGCTATAGATTTGTCTCTTATGGATATTTCATATAAATAGAATACATAATTTGTGGTCTTTTGTGACTTGTTTCTTTCACTCAGCATAATATTTTTGAGTTTCATGTTGTACATGTATCAGCACTTGATTTCTTTCTATTGCTGAATAATATTCTATTGTATGGACATGTCACATTTTAGCTATCCATTAATCAACTGATGGACATTTGAGTTGTTTCCACCTTTTGCCTATTATGAATAGTGCTACGATAAACATTTGTGTACAAGCTTTTTTGTGGACGTAAGTTTTCATTCTCTTGGGTAGATACCTAGGGGTGGAATTGTGGATAATATGGTAACTCTATGTTTAATCATTTGAGGAACTGCTAGGCTGCTTTCCAAAGTGGCTGCACCACTTTACATTCCCACTAGCAGTGGATGAGAGTTCCAGGTGCTTCACATCTTTGCCAACACTTGTAATTGTGTCTTTTGTATTATGGCCATTTTAGTGGGTATGAGGTGAATCTCATTGTGGTTTTGATTGGTATTTCCAGGATGGCTTATGATGTTAAGTATCTTTTCATTTGCTTATTCACTGCTTGTTTATCTTCTTTGGGGAAATGTCAATTCAGATCCTTTTCCCATTTTTAATTGGCTTGTCTTTATTATTGAGTTGTAGGAGTTCTTCAACTTTTTATTATTTCATATAATTGTATAGTATATATTTAATATGTAGTTTATATGTAGTTTTCAAAGTATAAGTTGTATACTTCTTTTGTTAAATATATTCCTAAACACTTTATTCTTTTTGATGCTGTTATAAGTGGAATTGTTTTCTTAATTTTGTGTTCAGATTGTTCATTGCAAGTGTATAGGAATATAATTCATTTTTGTACATTGATCTTATATCCTGCAATCCTGCTGAATTCATTTATTAATTCTAATAGCTTTTTTAAGTGGATTCCTTAGCATTTTGTAACATCATGTCATCTGAAAATAGAGACTATTTTCCAGAATGCCTGCACCATTTTGATCTTCCCAATCTGGATTTATTTTTCTTGCCCAATTCCTCTGGCTAGAACCTCTAGTACACTGTTGAATAGAAGCAGGGAGGGTGGACAACCCTGTTTTATTCCTGATCTAGGGGAAAACATCCAGTGTTTCACCATTAAGCATGATGTTAGATATAGGGTTTTTTGTACATGCCATTTATTAGGTTGAGGAAATTCAGTGCAGTTCCTACTTTCCTGAATGTTTTCATCATGAAAGGAGCTTGAATTTTTGTCAGATCCTTCTTCTGCCATGTTAACATTTTCATGTGGGTTTTGGCTTTTATTCTATTGATATGATATAGTAATTACATTGATATTTGGATGTTACACCAATCTTGCATTCTGAAAACAATCCACTTGGGCATTGTATACAATTCTTTTTATATATTTCTGAATTCAGTTTGCTAGTGTTTTATTGAGTTTTTTGCAGCTATATTTTTAAAAGATATTGGTTTGTAGTTTTCTTGTGATGTCTTTGGTTTTGATGTCAGGGTAAAACTAGCCTCATAGAATCAGTTGGAAAGTTTCTCCTTCTCTTCTATTTGTTGGAAAAGTTTGTGAAACATTGGTATTAGTTCTTTTTGTTTGGTAGAATTGACTTGCCATCTGGGCCTTGGCTTTCCCTTGTGAGCAGTTCGTTATTGTTGTTGTTACTAATTCAGTCTCTTGTTATAAGTCTATTTGGGTTGTCTAATTATTGTTGAGTTTTTTTCAGTAGTTTGTGTCTTTCTAGGCATTTGTCCATTTCATCTGTGATCTAATTTATTGGCATATATTTATAATATGCCTTTGTAATGCTTTTTAATTTATAATTTTAATAGTAATGTCTACTGTTTCATTTCTTTTTACTCTTGCTCCGTCGCCCAGGCTGGAGTGCAGTGGCATGATCTTGGCTCATTGCAAACTCCGCCTCCTG